AGAGAGGTAGTTTCAAAAATTCCTCCTTTTTTTAGTTTCAAAAATTGTTCTTCATATGATAAAATAAATGTTTGTCAAATTTTCAGAGTTCCAAGGTACTTGCTTTATGACAGCACTTTCTTCAGTGGTCTCATGTAATGTTTACCTAAAGCTCAGATGATCTTATCTTTGTATTTTCAAGCATTAATAACACTAAATGTATAGTGTATTTGCTACATGAGTTTAACTTGACAAAATAGTAAAATTTTAAAAGATATTACTAGATGCATTGAAGAACAGTGATTAAAAACTTTTATATACATAGATAAAAGATGCTGCCATTTAAATATTCTTATTAATTCATCAGATAAAAATTTCCAGTGGGCAAATACTGGAGCAGCTGTTTTTGGAACACAAACAGCCAGTAAAGTTGGTGAAGATGAAGATGGCAGTGATGAAGAAGTAGTTCATAACGAAGATATTCATTTTGAACCAATAGTGTCACTACCAGAGGTAAAAATTAAAGGCTGAACATTTTACTAATAACATCACATTTTATTTTTAAAATTTAACACAGACTTGGTTTGTGGAGGCAACACAGACTTTGTTTGCAGTTTTTGGAATGTATAAATTGATATATAGTCCTTTGTTTATTAGAAGTTTATTTTTTAAGTATATATTATTGTTTTTGTTAATTTATATATAAATGTTACCTGGTAAAGTAAACCGCTTTTTGGGTAAGAATGTTGTTTTGTTTGTTTTCAACTTCAACTGATTGTTAATGTTTCTTGCGAAGAACAAATTTCTTGTTTTATAAAAGAATACTAAATTTTCAAAAGGAGGAATACTACATAAGAGAAAAACATTTAATGACAAATGAGGTCTTTAGTGCCTCATCCCAGTCAGATGTTTTCCTAACCCTATGACATTACTATTTTTTTTATCTTGGTACTAAACTTCAAATTCTGTTGATGTCATTACAAAGATAATATCTTAAAGAATTTGGGTATTTGAAAATTATTATGAAATATGTTATTAGCAGCAACTTATAATTTCACCTGCTATTACAGGTAGAAGTAAAATCTGGAGAAGAAGATGAAGAAATTTTATTTAGAGAGCGAGCCAAACTTTATAGATGGGATCGGGATGTCAATCAGTGGAAGGAACGTGGTGTTGGAGATATAAAGATTCTTTGGCATACAATGAAGAATTACTATAGGATCCTAATGAGAAGAGACCAGGTCTTTAAAGTGTGTGCAAACCATGTTATTACCAAAACAATGGAATTAAAACCCTTAAATGTTTCCAACAATGCTTTAGTTTGGATTGCCTCAGATTATGCTGGTGAGTTTTTACATTTAAATCTTTTCATTTTTTTGACATTTAAAAAATCCATTACAAATGTATTATGTCGGCTATTTTAATGCTAAGTTCTCTCTTGTTTTCGTATTTAATAGATGGAGAAGCAAAAGTGGAACACTTTGCTGTAAGATTTAAAACTAAGGAAATGGCTGATTGTTTCAAGAAAAAATTTGAAGAATGTCAACAGAATTTATTGAAACTCCAGAAAGGACAGCAGGTATCACTGACAGCAGAATTATCAAAGGAAACAAATCCTGTAGTCTTTTTTGATGTTTGTGCAGATGATGAACCACTAGGACGTATAACCATGGAATTACTTTCAAATATTGTTCCTCAAACTGCTGAGAATTTCAGAGCACTATGCACTGGTGAAAGGGGCTTTGGCTTCAAGAACTCCATTTTCCACAGAGTAATTCCAGATTTTGTTTGCCAGGTAAGTATTAATTGTAGTAGATCACATTTGAAGCCTAGGAAAGCACACCACATTTATTTTACACATTAGTGTTTAATTCTGTGTATATGTAAACTTTTGATTCAAAATTCCTATTGAAATTTTTTTCAGGGGGGAGATATCACCAAACATGATGGAACAGGAGGACGGTCCATTTATGGAGATAAATTTGAAGATGAAAATTTTAATGTGAGACATACTGGTCCTGGATTACTATCTATGGCTAATCGAGGGCGGGATACCAATAATTCTCAATTTTTTATAACACTGAAAAAAGCAGAACATTTGGACTTTAAGCATGTAGTATTTGGGTTTGTTAAGGATGGCATGGATACCGTGAAAAAGATAGAATCATTTGGTTCTCCTAAAGGGTCTGTTAGTCGAAGAATTATCATCATAGAATGTGGACAAATATAAAATCATTGTTTTTCATAGTAAATTTTACCTGTAAAACAGTTGAATTGAAGCTTAGCTGTTATAACAATATGGCAATTATGTTCAGCTTTTGAAATGGACATTTCCAATGTATAAATGTAAAATTGCAGCTTATAGCTGTTGTCACTTTTTAATGTGTTATAATTAACCTTGCATGGTGTGAAATAAAAGTTTAAACACTGGTGTATTTCAGGTGTACTTGTGTTTATGTACTCCTGACATATCTGTATTAAAATGGAATAATACTAATCTTGTTAAAAGCAATAGACCTTCTCAAACTATTGAAGGAATTGATATATGCAATTTAATTTTAATTCCTTTAAGATTCTAGACTTCTGCATGCATGTGCATATATTGTTTGAATAAAGGGACCAAAATTTGGTTAGCTATAATTTTAGATTTGAACTATATTGGGTAATTTTAACTACTGGTATGTTCATTAATGCATATTCATTTATGAATGCATAGAGCCACAGAGGATAGAGACTTAACCAAAGTGCTCTTCTATAATCATATCTTCTGTATATAGTTAAGTTACCTTTTAAGTAGAGTACCTTTTTTTTTCTAGCTTCCTGTGCCCTTACTATGGGTTTAAATTAATTTTTACATTTTAAACAAGTTGAGTGTTAGGTTGGTTTTTTTTTTTTTTTTTTTTTTTTTTTTAATTTTTCTGTCATCTGTTTCTACTACCTCAAACTGCAGCTTGGTTCTGATAGAACTTGATTTTTTCCTTGCAGTTATTGTGATAAATTATGAATATTTTAAGAAGGTCTATACCATGTTTTTTGGTTAAAGATTGCTTTATATACTAGATTGTAGCAGTACCTTTTTCTGGTGATTTTTGTAGCAAAAATAAAGTGAAATTATTAATAGCAATGACATTTTAAAAATTCATTACTTGTGCATCTAGTTGTTCCTTCACTGTAGAACCAGACAATAGTAAGTCGGGCAGTTAAAGGCCTGTGAACTCAAATCTGCCACATAATTTGCAGAACTCCCAAGAAAGTAACTCTTCACTGAAAGTAACTCTTCAGTGTTTAATAAAACACTGAATGTATTTGGAAATAAGTGTCAAAAAGTTAGGTGGCCAACTGTTAATGAAGGGGAATATCCTCATGTAGAGTAATAGAGTACACATTTTATATATCCAATCATTATTACTGAGATTTTTTTGTATTTTCCCCAATGAAATCACCACCGCATTTTGTTTAGTCTAGGTTGGGGATTTGGAACTAGACTGTCGTGTAAAAAATGCCATTCAACTCCCAGTCAAATGGTTTACATGAGTAAATAATGATGGAATGCTCTCACTGAATTCTCTTGGCCACAAAGCCAGATAACCGAAATGCCAATTGAACTACCTGAACCTTGAAGAGAATTATGAACTATATATATGCACATTTAATATTAAGAATTTGCATCTTTGGATATCTATGTAATATAAGTTGATATGTAAATGTGTAATAATTTTTCAGCTGGGATAGCCAATGCCTTTGTCATGATTTCAGAATAAATTCCAAGTAAATACAAGTGCATTTTAGCGATCTTTTAGGTAATTTATTATGATTTCTGTGCTATTGGCCAATAAAATTAAAATTTTCCAGAATTTGTATCCCACAGATGCTTAAAAGTGACTGGAGATTTTTATTAAGACTAACATTTCAAGAAAGGATTTTGTCATTTCTCTTTGTTACATAGGTGTTTGTATGATATATAACCCATAATAATTGTATTTTTTGAAGTATCATTAAAAGTTTCTTAAAGGTAGAATAAAAACTCATTATTTGTATACTTTTGTACTTAATGGCAAAAGTATTGGTTTAAATAATTTCAGATAACTACTTTACACTGACATCATAAAAAAAATTGGCATTTACAAACCTTAAGGATAAACCAGAGAATCTAGTTGTTAGTGCAGACATGCCTTTGAAGAATTACTATGTGAGGGACATTGTTACCCTTCTGTCTTTTTTAGTATACCATTCATGTTAGCCAAAGTAAATACTGAGCACCTAGTAAAATGATAGGTAGTTTAGGCACAATGAAAAATTGTTTAAAACAAAGTAGTTTTCAGAGGGTTTATATTGTTAATACTGCTTTTTACTACTGCCCAGTCGAACACTGATCAACGATAGTGCGATTTATTTTCTTCACTTAGTAAAGGCCAGCACTGTGTGGTATATTCACACACACTAAAAAAAAAAAAAAGTATTCTAGACAAGGTTGTGTGTGCGTGCCTGTGCCTTGCCTCCAAGACCGCTTGGGTCATCCAGTGACTGTCCAGCCTGGACACTTAACTGCATTCTCACTGAGGCAAGACATAGGTCACCAGAGGAGCCACGCCTGCCACTTATGAAGTGTGTAACAGCCTGATGTGCGCCAAAGCGCCCTTTTCATTGAGGGGCCACACCTGCTAAGGTGTAAGCTGCCGTGGTTATGACTGAGAAAATGTCGAATAGCAAAGCAAAGTTTTAAGACACTCGGGAAAGAGCACCATTTATCTGTTCCAATAAAACAGTGAGGGAATTAGCTAGTCATCCTGAAGGAAAACACTCTTGGAATGCGAGGGAGGTTGCAACTTGGAATGAAACCCCGGCCTCATCGAATGCGCGCGTCCCCGGCCTTCCCACCCCTCGGCGGGGGCGCTTGCCAGACGCCATGCGCGCGCGCGCTCCCCGCCCGCCCGAGCCGAGGCGGGTGACGTCACGACGCACGTCCGCCGCGCAGGCTCCTCTAAGCGTCCTGCTGCAGGTTTGAACGCGGTTCCCGGGGAGACAGCGCCGGCCGAATCCTGCCATGGAGCCGAGGGTCGTCAAGCCGCCGGGGCAGGACCTGGCAGTGGAGCGTCTCAAAAGCCGCTACGGACTAGGGGGCGGCGGCCTGGCCGAGGTAAGGCCTCAGTCGCTTCACTAGCCCGGCGTGCCGCTACCCCCGGGTTCGGGTCGAGGCGCTAGGGCCTCCTGACGAGACCACCGCTGTGGTGCCCGGCTCCCGCGCTTAGGTCTGGGGGAGGAAACGAGATAAGATGGGCGAACGCTGGTGGGGAGGTGATAACGCTTGCAGGAAAACTAAGGTTTTTGTCAGCAAAGATTTTCCTCGTTAAAATTTGAGTTCTGTGTTCCGCAAACCGTGCCATGGCGTTATTTAAGGTATTTTTGAATTAGTAAAAAGTGCAATTGAAAAGATAATTTTTTAAAGTTTACTTTTGAAATAATTTGAAACTTAAAATTGCAAGAATAATGCAAATAACTCTTATACACTTTGCTTGGATTTACCATTGTTAACATTTGGCCCCATTTGCTTTCCTGTTTTCCCTCCCTTCCTCATTTCCACACCCTTCCATCCACACACTTTCCCAGCACTATTGGAGGATAACTTGAAGGCATTGTGCAATAAAATAGGTGTGCTTTCCAAGGCAAAGTGACATTCTCATATAACCACAGTAAATTCAGGACTTAAACTAATACAATAATAGTTTGTAACTTACAATTCATATGTCACCAATTATCTCAATGATATTCTTTGTTAAAATCTTTTAAAACCATGGTGCAACTCCACTGTAAAAATGAGCATTACATTTGACTATATCCTTTATTGCTTTCATTCAAAACTAAGTTTTGTCTCTAATTTTATATGCTGATGTTTCTGAAAAGTATAAATTATGATTTGAATGTCTCTCAGTTTGTATTGAGGGATACCTCAGATTAGAAACAGGGTATGTAAGATTGACAAGAATGCTGTATGAGTGGTACATGGCCTGCTTCTGCTCATTAGGAGACTTGTAATGTTGCTTTGTCTATTGATGGTGTAAACTCATCACTTGGTTTAGGCTACCTCTATAACCATTCTTCATGCTAATCTTTGTGATTTATTTTTGTAATTAATGCATAAGTTCTGTGGAAATATTTTGAAACTAGTAATTCTTAGTATGCAAATTAAATGCCATGTTTTTTCATTTTTAGTATGATTTTTCAAATTTTGATCAGGTTAAATGTAAGAGAAGATCTCTGACCTCCCCAGGTAAGCAGATTAAGTATTTTGTATACTTGGGGGCATAACAATTTTGAGAGAGGAGAAAAATGTTTATGCTTTACTAGAGCCAGTTATCTTTTGATATGAAGTTTTTTTTTTCAGTCTGGTAATTTTGGGGCTGTGTGTAAAACTTGTATGTTAACAGTTGAATGAGTTACTTCAGTCTGTTACAGTAGTCTTTTTTTTTTTAAGATTTATTTATTTGTGCATACAGAACTGGGGTACAGGCCAGAGACTTAGGGGTGGTGAAAGACTTCACCAGAGACAGAGTGGGGAGCAGAACAGGCAGATCTACCAAGTACACTGCTGAGGGGAGCAGCGGGCGGGTCAGGAGAGGTCTGCCAAGCCATGTGGTCACCTCCGGGACAGGCGGGAGTTGAACGCATGTGGAAGTGGTTTCAGCTTCTCAGTGCAGTGCTTTAACCCGCTCCGCCACCAGGGAGGGCCGTGTTACAGTAGTCTTTTAAAGATGTTAAAAGTTGAACAATATGTTGAGTATTATTTTAGGCATAAACTTTCTAGTCATTAGGGTAATTATTATACTAGAGGAGGAATTTATCTAATAAAAATGTATTTGGAAAAAGATAATTATAATGTGGAATTGGATGGGTTAGGACATCCTTTGGATAATCTGTAACTAACATGTATAGATAATCATTACCCTTTTGATTTGGTAATACTTAGGCAATTTCTTTAATAGTAGCTGTAATTATAAATCATTGAGACATCTGCAACAGAAACAATAATTAATATTTTTAAAAGTTCATCAGATAGTGCATTAGGGAATTTCACTTTTTTCTCAAGTATACTTCATTTTGAAACTTTGTAAATACTAATCTAAAATATCCCTTCAATATGAAAAATAATTCTGGTTGTTACTGAGTGCTATATATCTTAGACATCTTAAAATTTTATTTTAAATTTTGAAATTTACCTTAAAATTTCCATCCCAAGGGCTTCCCTGGTGGCTTAGGGTTTAAGTCTCTGTGCTATCACCACCATAACCCACCATAAAAGCCTGAGTTCTGTTCTCAGCCTGGGAGCTAGCCCAAAAGGCAAAGTAGACCTCTCCTATCTCACCCACTGCTCCCCTTAACAATGTATTTCAGTAAATCTGCCTGTTCTGCTCCCCACTCTGTCTCCAGTGAATCCATTCACCCCTGATCCTTTGGCACACATCCCAGTTCTACACAAAAATAAAGTCTTAGAAAAATTCCATCCTCCCAAGATATAACTACAAAGTATACTTTATTAAATGTCTAGGGGGGGTGTAAAAATAGTGATAAAGCAGGATACCTATATTTTAAAAGTATTTCTAAATTTCTTGTCAGGAATTTTTCTCTTCTACTTACTCACTGAATTTAGATATAAGCTAACAATTTATTAAACAATTGTTTAAACTACATAAAATTGGAAAATGTTCAATATTAAAGAACTAATAAAATACATACTTAGAAAGATGGCTAGTTTCTGAATTTTAGTCTTTGCATTTGCTGGTTATATTACTTAGGAAAATTCATGTAACTTCTTTGGTCCTTATGTTCCTAACCATTAGAATAGGATTAAATGTACCTATTTTGCTTACTTCATAGGGTTGTTCTGGGGTCATTTAGGTAATGGGTGAAAGAGCAGTCAGTTCAGTGCTACATATATGAAAGATTTGGAGTCTATTTTCTGGATGTTTACATTGGAGATGTATGGATAAAGTCAAGTATTTTTTACTCTCTTTAAGATTCTAAATGAGAAGATCATGAGATCAGATAATAATGATTAATACAGATGCTTCTTTTTTTGTCAATCAGATCATTTTGATAGCTACTCATCTGGAGATAAAGTTGGTTCATCATTAAGGTGTTATTCCAATGAAAGAAAGCACTGCAGAACACCTCTTTTTAATTCATTCAAGCACTTAAGTGTGAATTGGTAAAGTATACAGAATGCTTACTGTTGCTATCTTCCCACAGTATCTCAAAAAATCTGAGAAAGGGTAAAGGGCAGGTTTTTGTGTTTTACTCTGAGAGGAATTACAAGCAATCTGAAGCCTGTTGAAGAAGTTTATATTAATTTTTACTGTTAATCTATGATAAAAGCAGAAACCTACCATTATGTTTTGTGGCATAATGGAAAGTATGAAAAATCAAAAATTATTTTTATGGTTATTCAACAAGGACTGAAAGAAAACTTGCTTTCTTTTTTTACTTAAAGAAACTAGGATAAAAATGAGTACAGGTTGTTAGGCAGTGATAATATAACTCAATATTATTTGTCAAATTAAGTCAGTATAAATACAAGGGAAGCTAAGGTAAAATAAAATTAATAATTATTAGATGATTAAAATATGTGGCATGGTAAAAAGCTGTGTCAAGAAGGAGTAAACATTTTGAAATAATATTAAGACATCAAGATGGATATGCCGAGATAATTGTGGAGGGAAAAAAAGGGCAGTTGGGCCTAAAGTATCTGTATATCAGTTATTAGGGATCTTGAATTTTTTTATATAATGGCTTGCTTCCTTACTTAAAATAAGCCATATACATCTGAACAGTGTTTAGTATATAGAAAAGCACTCAAATCCATTATCATCATCATTACTGTTTTATTTGGCAGTTGATTTCAAATCAAGGTTTGAACAAGAGGTATATTGACTATAGAATAAGTAAAAGTGAAAATTGCTGTAAGATCAATATAATATATGTTAATGGAAATTATTTTCTAGTTGATAATTTTATGATTTTTGGCTTTTATTAAAACTTCAAATTACAATTTTTAGGTTTGCAATTATGATTGAACAGAGGTTTTCACAATCCCTAGTTATGAAGGGACTAGAATTTATAGTACTGTTCATCTCTGTAGCCATAGACCATATGGGTTCTTGAGTACTTGAAATGGTCTTAGTTGAGATATCTATAAAAATAAAACATATTCTGGATTTTAAAGATGGATGAGAAATCTAAAAATATCTTAATTGCTTTTTGATTATATGTTAAAATGACGATTTTTTTAGGTGTATTGCACAAAGAAAATATGTGACTATTGGAAAATTTAAATTATGTGATATACACTATAAATTTCAACTTTGAGATTATCTCTTTGAAGAGAGCACGTGGGATTCTAGTTCTGCTCTACCTTTTATTAGTTTTGTTACTTGGCAGTTATTAAAAATCTTTTAGGTTCTCTTTTCTTTCAATGTAGTGAGCATTAATTCTTTAAGCTAAAGATCTATAATTGTTAAGTTATAGATGACACTGCCTGTTTTATCTACCTCACCAAAATATTGACAATCAAAAGAGTTTGGCCATTGTAGAGAAGTATCCAAGTATATGTAGTTTTAAATTAAGCTCATTTGAATATATCAAAAGATACTTAAAGTGGATTATAAGGCTCAATGGCTGATGCTTTTTGCATTTTTAGTGTTTACATTTTTGTAAATCTTGTATTTTTTCTCTTGTTAATATTTGAAAAATTATTTCAGATTATTTTAATACTATATAAACACCCAGGATGCTGTGAAAAAAAAATTTTTTTTAAAGGCTAGGTGATGAACTGGAATCTTCTCAAGATTTGAAGCAACAGGAAACAGAAGAGTTAATTGACAGTGATCATAGAGTTAGTACTTCTAAAATAACCACACAATCCTTTAAAGAAATAGAAAAAGGTAATTAAAACACTAAACTTATTTATTTTTGAAAGGTATAGTGTAGTTTATTGATGGTACATGATAATACAGGACTCCCTGAGCCCTTCCCATTTTCTGGGGGGTCCAGTATAGAGCTGTGACTGAATGTGTTTGATGCATGGGGGAAGGACTCCTCAGCACCTGTGGACCTCTTTTCCTTTTGTGTTCTCCAGGGGACTCTTAAAAGTTAAAGAGGATCGGGCCCTCTCTGGTGGCGCAGTGGGTAAATGCAGCACTATAAATGCAGCACTAAGAAACTAAAGCCACTTCAGCATGAGTTGGATCCCTGCCCACCCTAGAGGTGATCCACATGGAGCAGTAGACCTCTCCTGGCCCACCTGCTGCTCTTCTCAGCAGTGTACTTTGTCAATTTGCCTGTTCTGCTCCCCACTCTGGTGAATCCTCTCACCGCCCCTGAGCCTCTGGCCTGTACCCTAGTTCTCTATACATAAATAAATCTTCTAAAAAAAAGTTAAGAGGATCATGTGGAGCCTCAAAAGGATCATATGGAGGCCCTCTAGACCCTGAGGTCCACTACCGGGTTCTGCAACCAAATTCATTGTTGTACCAGGAAATGAGCTGACAGAGTGGTCATTGAAAGCATTGTTAGTCTCAGCATTGAAGGCAGAGGAATGGGAGTTGCTGTTAAAATTGCAGAAGGTGTTGGTCCTCAGTATAGCCCAGGGTGCTCTTGGTGGGACCCTGTTATGCCTGGCTTATCGCTTACCTACTAGGATAACACTGATCCTCTGGTGTCTGTATATTTCTGTGTTATGAAATTTTGTAAGTCCTTTGATACTCTATTATTATTAAAGTCAATGAAGAGAAAGAGAAACTATTATTTTCAGTGGGATACCTACAGTCTCAAATCTAATAAAAGTAAGTTAATAATCATTATGTTTAATAATTTCTTCAGTTCTTTTCCCTATCAGTGTTAGGACTTAAGTAGATGATTGTAATATATGATCATTCCATTTATTTATTTATTTATTTATTTATTTACTTACTTACTTACTTACTTACTTACTTACTTACTTATTTATTTTAGATTTATTTATTTGTGCATACAGAACTGGGGTACAGGCCAGAGGCTCAGGGGCGGTGAAAGGCTTCACCAGAGACACAGTGGGGAACAGAACAGGCAGATCAACGAAGTACACTGCTGAGGGGAGCAGCAGGCAGGTCAGGAGAGGTCTGCCGCACCATGTGGTCATCTCTGGGGCAGGCGGGGATCGAACTCATGAGGAAGTGGCTTCAGAGTCTTAGTGCTGTGCTTTAACCCTCTGCGCCACCAGGGAGGACCTGATTATTCCTTTTATTTTTAAGAAAATACTGCAGGATATTTAAGGTATGACTACTGTAGGTACTGAATTAGTAGTGCCTTTTTGTACCTAATTGCATTTCATAATTTTGTCAGGCTTTCAAGGAAAGGGACAAACAGAGAGGGCACCTTCCCCTTCTTGGCTGCAGACTTTGAAAGCACTATACCACATGGATGTCCTTTGTACATCTCTTTTCCTGGGCATACATTGTCTACATACACCACAAACTCATTTCTTCCTTCTCCTCCTTTGTGCATTCATCTCAGGATTTAAAGAACATGTAAAAACATTTTCTGCCTGGACTTGTTTTCTTACTACATATGGATTTTCACATTGAAAATTATAGGATAATCTATTTTAAAAAATTTGGGAATATACTTAGAAGTGGACAAAATTAGGGAGTATTCAGGTTAAGGGTTGATGAGGTAGGAACATAGGCAAGCAAAAGCACTGAATGCTTTTCAAGGACATTTGCTGAAAAAATGAAGTTTTTTCCTTTTAAGAATTTTTTTGGGGGGCTTTCTCAGTATCTGTCCAAGCTGGGGAGTATAGTGCAAAGCCTCCCTCTTTAAAACTGGGATCCCCCCCAAAAAAATGTAAAAAAACAAAAACTGAGATGCCCAAGAGGCTAGTGCAGATTATTCTTTCAGTAATAACATGGCATGAAGCTGACAAAATAGTGATGACATAGAAATGAAGCAAGAGGTTGGGAGAATAAATTGAAACAACTGCTTTGGGAAATACTTTGGCATCACTAGTAAATCACTGCACATATACCCTGCTATCTTACAATTTCTTAGTAGTTGTATGCCCCCCAAAATTTGAACTTATGTACTAGAAACCATGTGCAAGAGTGTAGTGTCTGTATAGCAAGAACAGCTCAAATATCCATCTTTATTAGATTATTGGGATATAAAATGCAGAAATTGGATAATGAACCTGGCATTAACGTAACATTTAGATGAAAGTATAGAAATTATAGAATTGCAGGCATATTAGTTTAAAAATAGGCAAAACACAAGACTTTTTGTTTTACATAGCAGTAAAACAAAGTAAAAGCAGTGATTACCATATTTGGGTTAATGTTTCATTTGGTTTAGGGGAAAGAGGGAATGTGGACAGCTCTTCTTCCCACCTGTGACTATGCAGCTGCCTCTCTTTCTCCTTTTGTAATAAACCTATCCTTTTAGAATGACAAAAATGGGGGCAGGTAAGTAGGGAAAATGTGCTCAGGAGTTTCTGAAATAACTTTTCAGTTCATGGCCTAATATGTGAGTGTTTTTGGACTTTGAAATGTAAAAGAAAGTCTATTTACAAGAGGCGTGAGAAATTGAGAGGTGTTTTGGCACTTAAAAACTTTTTGAAATGGGCCCTCCCTGGTGGCGCAGCGGGTTAAAGTGCAGCACTGAGAATCTGAAGCCACTTCCGCATGAGTTCGATTCCCGCCTGCTGCCTGCCCCGGTGGTGACCACATGGCGAGCCAGACCTCTCCTGGCCCGCCCACTGCTTCCCTCAGCAGTGTACTTCGTCGATCTGCCTGCTCTGCTCCCCACTCTGTCTCTGGTGAAGCCTCTCACCGCCCCTGAGCCTCTGGCCTGTACCCCAGTTCTGTATGAACAAATAAATAAATCTTTAAAAAAAAAAAAAAAAAACTTTTTGAAATGATTGCAGACTTGTAAGTTACAGAACATTTCTTATAAAGCTGTTATCCACTTTTTAAAAACACCTCAACATATTTTCTGTATCATTTTTTTCCCTGTAATCATACTTGAAGCTTTTTAACAGAACTGTAATTCACAGCTAAGGTAACATCCTAAAGATTACTCAAAGAATATATAAATTATAAGGTTTATATTAAAATTTTATTTCTTACAGGTTTCCAACCAGCTAATATGGCATCAGATTCAAGAAATTTGACTGAATGTTGTAGTGATGTGGATGATTCTCCATTGAAATCTGCCAGCTACACAACATCTAAAGCATCAAACAAACGTTTACTTCCACATCAGATCAATCAAATATATGATGAATTATTTCACATACATCAGAAACTGCAGGTAAGAACTAAATACTGAATTAGAAATATTTATGTTCTAAGTATCAAGAATTTATAAAATATCTAAACAAGGTATTTCATTGTTGTTATTGTAGATAAGGTGTCAAGATAGTTTGAAAGAACTCATTTAACTTATTGTAACTATTAAAGGAAAAATGTATGGCTATGAAAAAGATATAGACTGGTATTTTTATGTATAGTTACATTCCTTAGATTTCAGATTATATTTATCTCCATCCCATCTCATCCCATCCCACCTCACCCTACCCCTTGCTGAAGAAATAATATCTGTTGGTAAGGAGTGCTTTTCGAAATAGGTGTTTGAAATACCTATATGTTTGAAGTTCTTTTCTGAACTCTCGCTAAATTTCAGTGTAGAGCATTGGCCTTTATCTTTGAATTTTGTTTGTTTTCAAAAGATATAATTCACTTGCTTATCAGGTGTCCACTAGATGGGAGTATGTAAGGAAGCAAAATCATATATAATAAAAGAATTTCATCTTGAAATTTTTCTAGTTGAAAATGAATTAGATACATATGAAAGAGTTAAACATTCTTTAAAAAACTTGCATCTAATTTTTTCTGAATGAGTTATATGGTCGTTACCATACATACCATTTTAGAAAAGATTGTTTTGGTCTGAAATCCTAGGGTACAAGTTCAGGGAGAGACTTTGCTTGGTCCTTGTCTGAAAGGTAAAATACAGGACCTCCTAGGTTCAAGGAATTGGAGTGAAAAGTTTTGGGAAAGATGTAGTTTGTCAGATTGTGACTGTTATCAGCCTGTCTAGAGTAGGAAAATAATGAAAATACAGGTTGGCTATTATAAGTTATTAAATAAAGAAGTGTACAGTAAAATATGAATCATGAATAAGATTCTTTTGATGATAATAATTTAGGAGATTGAAAAAGAATAAGTTGGGGACTTTTTTTTTTTAAAGATTTATTTATTTGTGCATACAGAACTAGGGTGCAGACCAGAGGCTCAGGGGTGGTGAGAGGCTTCACCAGAGACAGAGAGGGGAACAAAACAGGCAGATTGACGAAGTACACTGCTGAGGGGAGCAGTGGGCGGGTCAGGAGAGGTCTGCCATGCCATGTGGTCACCTCTGGGGCAGGCGGGGATCGAACTCATGAGGAAGCTGCTTTAGAGTCTTAGTGCTGTGCTTTAACCCGCTGCGCCACCAGGGAGGGCCCCAGTTGGGGACTTCTTGGTGGCTTAGTGGTTAAAATCTCAGCACTATGAAGCTATCACCAGTGTGATACTACGACTGCAGTGTGAGTTTGATCCATGTCCAGGGAGCTAGCCTACACAGCCTAGCAGACCTTTCCTGTTCTTGTCTGTTGCTCCTCTCGGCAGAGTATTTTAGTAGACCCACCTGTTCGGTTCCCTACTCTGTCTCTGGTGAATCCTCCAGATCCCCCTTCCCCCAATCCCTTGCACCTCTGGCCTATGCCACAGTTTTTGTATATATAAATAAAAACAAATCTTAAAAAAGCATGTTGGAAGATCTAGAGTGAACACAATGTAGATATACTTAATATAAAAATGATTTAGTAATAGTTAAGCCACTTCAGAAGGAAGATGTAGACTGAGGCCAAATTAAATTGAGGAATGATCCAGAGGTTAAGAGGGCTTCAAACTTTGAAGAGTTTGTGAAGGTATGAAGATAAATGAATGAGCCAACAGAGACTTCATTTCAGATGGATTCAGAGAGATTTAAAATATTAGAGAAATAATAGCATAAACATGCAAAGGCAGTGCGGTTCTGAGTCAGCCTTTTAATGGGAAGGAAAAGGACCTTGTGTGTCTTGAAGGCAGGAGTTGATGTTTCTTCCAACTGTCTTCTGTTTTTCCTGTGAAGTTAAAAATGAGAATGGCCACACAGAATGGTGTGTGGACAGGAGGCAGTGTGTTCAGGGAAAGTGTGGGAGGCTTGAGACATTGGAGGATCAGAGAGAGAGCTTACCAATGGAAATAGAAAAAGATTTCTGGATTGCACTGAGTAGAGGTTAAGACCCTGAGTTTTATAGTTGTACTACTATTCATGAAGTGTGGTTTTTTTTTTTTCCCTCCAGTGATACATTAGAGGGTGAAAGAGTGCTTTAAGTGCATGACTGGGACCTTTCATTCCAAGATGATTTGAAGAGGAGATGGTTAGGGAGTGGAAATTATAGGTAAAAGAATGGATCTTCAAGTGGAAGTAGAGCATGGATTTTAAGCTGGACAGGGGTTTAAATCTGTATAGTATGGATCCTTTTTGGACCACAAATAGAATTTCTTTTCATTTGCTGTACTAGTCTAGCTATTACTGTAATTATGATCTTTCATTATTTCGATGTAGTCCTAAAGGGCATTTGATTTAGCTGCAAACAGTAAGTAGAAATATAATTTGTGGAATTTGTGAATGGATGTTTTAAATGCACTACAATCTGACATTTTGATACAGTGTGAAACTGCAGCACAACAGGAATTTGCTGAAGAACTTCAAAAGCGAGAGCGAATTTTAGTTGAACGAGAACAACTACTTTTCAGACATGAAACTGCTTTGAGTAAAATTAAAGGTGTGGAAGAAGAGGTTCTTACAAAATTTCAGATTATAAAGGAGGTAACTGGCATTTGATTTTAAAGTAATGTTAATTTCTTTTCCTCTAAATTTAGACTGACTAGGTGTGAGCTTTTTGCCACCTTTGTTTTCTTTACCTTCCTCCCCCCATTTTCTCTTTAATCATTTGAAATTAACTTGTAAGTATCTTGATACTCCCTGAGAAGGTTTCTATTGTTAAATTTATTTATAAAGAGTAAGTATCTCTTAAAAATAACAGTGTTGTCTATACCATTATTATATTAGTAACATAATGTTAATTAAATAATTTAAATTATTACGTAGGCCACATTCACTTACCCAACTGGTCTCTGAAATGTCTGATACTGATCATGGGACTAGACAAACATCATTTATTTTGTACTTGGTTCTAATCTCTTTTGGATTCTTCAAATTAAAGCAGTTAACTTCAACTTTTTGGTATTTTGTAAGCCCTTTCTTTGAAGAATCTGGACCATCAGTCCTATAGATTTGTTTGTTTCTTAATGATTATTTTCAGATTGAATATTTTTGACTGGACTGTTACATAGTTGGCATGATATCCTTTTTCATATCAAGAGATATGTTACAGTGTATCTTATTATGAAGAGTAAAATTAATTTTGTTTATTTTGAAAAAATGCAGTCTTAATCACTAGCATTAGTCAACATAAAGAATAATTCTAGCATTAAAAATCTGCTGGAGGAGTATAACCGTTGGGGAGAGAAAATAATAATAATAATAATGATGAACAGTTGTATACCAGAGACATTTTATGGGAGTAGAGTGGGGAATGAGATCAAAAACAGTGGGGGGAGGGAAATACACTGGTCTTTGGTGATGGTACATGGGTGATTTGGTGATGGGAAGCCCAAGGGGATTACAACTGAGATGGAAAAATAAACTATTGAAAAGGAAAAAAAAAAAGTAACTTGAAGATAAATGGGAAAGCTTTAGAGGGGGCATGACATTAACAAAAACAAATAAAAGAAAGAGTTTAAAAAAAAATCTGGTCCTTGTAATTATCCTGTAACAGCGTGGTCTGCAGGAAAAGGGGAGGTTCCAGGTTCCCTGTCCCACACAAGGAAGGGTAGAGCTTAGTAGGAAAGAGGGAAAGCTAGAGAAGGAATTGGTGAAGGAGGAAAGGTGGGAAGCAAGAAGGAGACCCAGAGGAGGCAAGTATAGCAAGAGAGACAGGTGAAGAAGCTACACTTGCTTCTTGATCTTGGGCTGGTTGAAACAGATGTGGGTGAGAGATCCATGGGGATGATGGACTGACAGTGGCAGCATTTATATTGATTTTGATTTTGCTCTTTTCCTTCCAGACTTGTCTGGCCATTTCTAGCCTGGCCACCTCTGTTCCCAACAGGAGGTGCCTTAGACTTGTGGCAAGCCTTTGGGCCAGTACTGATTATCCACGAAGGGATGGATAATTTCAGGTGCTTGCTTTGAAAACTTTATTCTTCTCCTTTTCTTTGTTACACACTAGTTGTATTAAAGTTCTTTTCCATTAAAGGTCTTCTGCACTAAAGTATGTTTGCCTTGATATGGCAGATAGCATAATCTGTTTAGAGTGGGTAGGTTTAGGAGATTCTGTCCCTCTCTTGGCCCTGTAATAGCCGTTTTTTTTCCATTCTCACATATCTATTTTCCATCCCTGTAGCACAGCCTTTCCCAGAATGTCATTTATGTAGAATCATTTCACGATTTTCTTTGTGTTTGGTTTTCAGGAGCAATTTAATTACATTGTATCTTTGCATGTTCTTTGAGTGTGATGAGGTTCAGATGTTGGGGATCAATGAGTGAATGAGTGGGGTCCTTGGGTTCCCTCTAAGAAAAGTTTCCCAGTGAGGACACCTGGGAAGTTTACTAAAGAAGAAAGATGTTTGCATGGATGCAAACAAGCAAAGCCTGCATTTTAAAAGGGCATGTTCATTAGGAAAAAGAAACACCTGCATAGACTAAGGCAGATAGTCTTGGGACAAGACTGCATTTTGAAGGGCAAGTTTGAGAAAGAGACAAAGTGCATAGACACAGAGCTACATTTTGTTTGAACACAGGTGTTCTTTGAGGGAATTTATTCCTTTGTGGATTTTTAAAATTTTGTTTTGCATAGAAGAAGTGGGGTGTAGGCCACAGGTCTTGGGGGAGGGATAAGAGCATTCATCAGAAGCAGTGGGGAGCAGAACAGGCAGATTTACACTGCTGTGGGGAAGCAGTAGGCGAGACAGAAAGGTCTGCTGCACATGTGTGGATTAGCACCCTGGCTGGGGGATTGAACTCAGGCTGTAGTGATATAGTGCTGAGACTTAACCCCAAGGCCAACTGGGAGGTCCCCCTTTCTGGAATTTTAGATGTTATGAAGTCTATCACTTCTAACATCTGACTGAGTTATTCTTTAAAGACTGATGTTTATTTGCAATGACTGACAATTTTCCATATCCCCCGCTCTGGTCTATGCCTATAGATTTTCCATAACAGTCTCTTCCTAAGGGTTTTTCTGTAAAGCTAGTTTAATAATTCATTGATTATTTCTACCCCAACCCTACTTTTCATCCTAAATTTTCTAATCTAAGCCTCCACAATTGTATCCTTGTTTTAGGTTGAATATCCGATTTTGTAAATTTATGTCTTTTACCAAATTTGTGAAGTCTTCAATAATTCTTCAAATATTTTTTCTATTCCAAATTACTTTTGGCTCTTGTTTTTCCACATTTGGTGACTTTGTTTTTCACGTTTAGTGACATCTATTGCTCTTTCATTGTTGCTATTGAATTCATCTGGCAGTTTTTTATTTCTTACACTTTAAATTTTCAGAATTTCCTATTATGTTCCTTTAAAAACAATTTTTAACTTTCTTCATGAGAATTTGTATTTTTCAATTTGTGTTCGTTTACATTTCATCATGAAACAGTTCAAAAATCCAACATCAGGATCATGTAAGGATTGGCATTTTACTTGAGACTTAAGTTACATTCATCTGGTTCTTTGTATGTGCATTGACTTTGGACTGTATTTTCAATCTTTTGGATATTTTGTATAGAATCTGGGTCCTGTTTTAATTCTCTAGAGACTGTTGATCTTATTTTTAAGTAGTCAGACCAGTCCAGTGTAGGATGAAGTCCTTCCTCACTTTCTGTGCGACAGTAACCTAATTAAGTTTAGTTTTCAAAGTTTTTTTAGTTTTACTTTAGAGTTGTCATATGCATACATTATTTAGTGGTTATTCTGTGATTCAATTAATGGTTTAAATATTAATTCAATTCTCAGAACCTTTGCTATGCTGATTTTTTTTTTTTTTAATATGCTTTAGGCATTGGGAGTTAGCCTGAGGCTTGGATAGTATTTTTAAACTGCGCTGCAATCTTTTCCATCTTTGCTGTGCCTAGGAAACTGGGGTGGACCAAATTTGTACAGGTTCCTGTATAGCCATACATGATTTAGTGATAGGAAACGATTCTGAAAAATATGTCACTGGGCAATTTCACTATTGAATGTCAGAGTGTAATTGCACAAATCTGCATGGTCTGGCCTACTATACAGCGAGGCTATATGGTATATAACCTATTGTGGTCACTTTTGTTTATGTGGTCTGTCATTGCATAAGCAATGCATGACTACCCACTAGATCTCCAGAAACCTTCTGATGAGGTTGTCCCCACACGCCATTTGGCTCAGAGGGGCACTTTTTCCTGTTTTTCTGACTAAGGAATTTCTCTAAATTTTAGCAGCATACTTTGCTGCTTTACTTCTCAGTAACTGAAGCCTGCCCTAGGGTATACTTCTTGAAAAAAGGAAACAAAAATCAAAATAGGAAACTTCATCCTATAGTAAGTTGTTTCTTCAACTTTTAATCCCTTTTGTTAGCCTCCTGATTGTGTTTACTTTCCACAGGCTTTACATAATTGCTTTTTGTGTTTTGTCTAGGGCTTTTATTTGTAATCAGTAGAGTATAGTGAGCTTATTTTGCCACACTAGAATCAGAACTCATTTGAATGTGTAAAAATTTGGACAATTAAGTATATTAACTTCACTTAACAAAAAACTGTATTGTGACTATATACTAAATTATCTAAGAAATCATTTAATGTGATCATAAAATTATATAAAGCTGATTGGATTTTAACCAGGACAAAAGAAGACTGCTTAGAGCTCTCCATTCTTATTTCATTCTTTATTTTCTCTCTTTAGATTTGTCCATCTGTTATTTCTATTAAGTTTAGGTTGCTACTTGAAATTAATGCTGTCTGTATGATTATTTTGAAAAGGGAGTTCAGTTTCTTAATTTTCTTCAGTTTCTTGTTTTGCTACATGAGGGTAAATATTCATACTTTAAATCTATGAGCTTTCTAGGATCTCTGTCCCTGGCTTAATATTGGCTTAAAGTCAGAGTAGGCTCTCCTTTTCTGTGAAATAACTACTTAATTTATAAAATCTGCTGTTTGCCAGTAAATCAGCCATTTCAACTCCCTGCTAGTGACCAAGGATCCAAGATTTAAACATTGGGCCCCTAGCCCACAAAGGTCTTTGTTAGCAGGCAAACTGAAGAGCACCCCAGGAAACCCAACATTTAGGGTGCACAACACCCTAAATGCTACAAAACATACTCTCAGTGCATGAGACTGTTACAGGATAGCCCAGAGTGGAGTGGGCCGCCTGTCTGTGGGGCCTCACCCGCTTGCTCACAATTTGGTTACACTGCAGGTACACACAAAAGGGTCGATAACAGGTTTATTTACAAAAGGGGAAAGGAATAGGAAACAGCCCAGGGAAAGAGCAGGATACAAAGTAAGTGGAATACCTAACGACTAGGCTGACTGAACACACTAAGTCACGTGGTCCGGAGAGCTGCTTCCCAAGCAAGAGCCAGAGAGCGTGAGATGTAATTGTCCCCTATTTATCCCCCACAATGTCCCAGAATCCATTCCTGCTAGCTCCGCCCTTGGGTCCTTGCAGTTCTCTCCCTGGTACTGCTGGGATTTGTAGTTTCCAATCACTAGAGTACGGTGTAGGGTATAGAAAGC